CTACTATAGTGCCTGGAAAATAGAAACCATAAGTGCTTACTACCCAGGTCACATACTTACGAGCTTCTGAAACCCTTTTGCTTGCCCTTTGATATGCATAGTCAACAATAAGTAAAATCAGCTAACACTTTGTTCACCTTCCTATTCCACTCCTATGGCCCTATTTCGACGTAGACATTGTAGGTGGTGGTTATTTCCCCCTCTGCCTTACACACCCTGGGGATTGAAGGCAGTTAAGTAATCACCTTGCTTCTTGTGACTATGCCCCTTGTTAGGAAGGTCATCTATTGATCGCTGGGCCTCTCATTCCATGAAAATCTTAATCAGACTCTCAACCATACTCTAGAATGTTCCCCCAGTAGTGATTTCAATATCCATATAGATCAGTCTTCAAATATCACGGCCTCTGGGTTCTTGACCTCCATTCTATCTCAGTCGGACCTTGTATGACCATACCTTAGATCTCGTCACCACCAATAATTTCCACCTCTCCATGATCTCAGTTTCAAACATTCCACTCTCTGATCTATGGATCTATTTAATCACTACCTAAAACCTTCTGTATTTTCAACTCCCTTATTCTGGCCTTGAATTTGAAAATCCCTTGGCCACTGGAATTTCAATTTATGGTAATCACCCCTCTTCATGGTTCTTCACCCCTGTCATGTTCTCACGTCTCTTTGTTATCATTGAATGGTCATTTTCATTGTTCTCTCACTTGTCCCTTAATTCATCCTACTCTTCCACTTGCTCTAGCACTAGGTCCAACTTTCTACCTGATACATGCCCAAATTCACAGAGCTAAAGGTGACGGGAGAAATATTCTCTCTCTTTAAATTCATAAATACTAAAAATTTCCCAAGGGTCTTTAATGCTACCTAGAAATCAAAACTTTATTCCCCTAGTCTAGTCATTGTCTTGATTCTCCTAGTTGATGAATGTCTTTAAATCCTTTCTCCAACTTTCCCCATCTCCACCCCATTCGCTTCCCATGTTACTAAGAAAATAGAGATAATTAGGAGGGAACTTCTACACACACACACCCCCTCCCTTCTTTCTGCTTCTTCCTCTTTGATGAATAAAGCACATATGCTTCTAGCTAAAGTCACCCACCTATGTGCATATTAATTCAATCTCCCCCTAACCTACTCATTGATCTCGCTCCTTGAATTTTCTTTCTCCTGTACCATTTTCCCCCTGAGTCATTTCCATTATCATAAAAACATATGGTCACTTTCTTATTATTTAAAAACCCACATGTTCTGACCCAATGTACCCCTCCCTCCCTTCCTTCCTTCCTTTCTTTCTTTTAAGGAAAACTCCAAAGATTGCTATGCACTTACTCAGTTTGCTCTTCTCCCATTCTGACTTGAACCCACTCCAAGAAGGCTTTTTGTCACCATGTTTCACAGAATGTGTGTTTATCAAGGTCAGCAAGGAATTCCGTATTGCTTACATAATTATCAGCAGTATTTAATGTAGATCACACCATTTCAAACATTTCTAGAAAATTTGGTTTCCAAGAAATCCTATCTTCCTGATGTTCTTCTTTGTCTCTAGAGAATTCTTCTCAGTTGCCTTTGCTGATTTCTCCTTCTTTCCCTGCCCTCTTTATATATGGGTATTCCAAGTTATAGGGCTTGGACTATGGGTTATATCTATACTCACTGCCTTGGAGAACTTATTAATCTAAGTTATGGCTCTGAATACCATTTTTATGTCCTTAACTCAGATATGCCCTTAAGATTTAAAGCTATATACCTAAATGCCTGCTGGATCTACGTACGTAAACCTCCAATTTAATGTCTAAGGCTCTCTAAAATTTGAGCTGTCTAAAAATCGATCTTTTGATTTCTTACTTTCCAGCTAAACAAATAAACAAACAAACAAACTAATCTCCTGTTCTCTTGTAGTCGTCCCTATTGAAATTAATGGCAACTCCAGTCTTCCAGTTGCTCAAGCCAAAAAGTGTATAATCACTGTTGATTCAAATTTTATCTCTCTCACATTCTGCATCTGAGCTAACCCCCTATAACCAATAACCCCCAATAACTCCCAATAACCTGCCCACTTCACACATCTCTGATATTGAGGGTCTAATCTGAGCCGCCATTTTTATGACAGACTCGACCTGGCACTTCAACCCCGCCCCATCCCTGTGTCTTCTGAACACAAGAGAGTGATCTTGTTGAAAGAGAAGTCAGGGCACATCACCCCATGCAGGTGGCATTCTGATGACCAAGAATTTCATTTCTGGCTGTCCATTGTCACTCTGTCTTTGGCCCTGCTCTCCTTATCTGCCTTGCTCTAGCCACACTGGTTCCCTTGTCACAAGTCCTCAATATACCAGGAAGGCTCCCGTCCTGGGGACATAGGAATGACTGTCTGTAATGCTCTTTCCCTCAATATCCACATGATTCAATCTTTCATCTCCTTTCTACCTTTATTCAAGTGTGTTATATTCTTAGGGAGTTCTTCATTAACCACCTTTAACCCCCAAATTAAAATACTCTAATATTTTCTACCTTTTTCACAGGTTTAATTTTTCTCCCTGGTCTTCATCACTATGTAAAATTCTACAAATTTTCTTATTAATCTTGTCCATTTTCTCTTTTTCTAGAATATAAATTCCACAAGAATAGGAATTTGTATCTGTTTCATTTACTTATGAATCTCAACTAACAACACTTAGAAAATAGTAAACATCTATCAAGTATGTAAAGGATTAAATAAATAATAAATAAATGAACAAACATGTTGGAAAAAGAAGATGGAAATTTTAGAAATAAAAAATAATTGAAATTTAATACTTAGCTGGATAAAGAGAAGCTTATTTTTTCAGAGAGCAACACAATATCAATAGAAGAGATATATTTCATGGTTACTCTTAGGAAGCTGGTGTAAATTTGATTCCCAAACAGCAATGAAAGTAAGAAAAACCATAGACAATTTTTTTTCATGAAAATAGATTTAAAAATTCTAAACATATTATGTAACAAAATCCAGTAAGTTAAAAAAATATACTTCAGAGCCAATATAGATAGTATAATTTATATTTAGATAAATTTTAAAATTAGAGAACACTAAAAATACAACTTCCAAATCCATATTGGTGTATGTTGAGGACTGAATGTGCCTCTCCAAATTCATGTGCTGAAATATGATCCCTAATATGATACTGAGAGGTGAGGCGTTGGGGAGGTAACTTAGGAAGGTGAGCCCTAATGAATGGAAGGAAGGGAGCTATTTAGCTGTCATGTGAGGTCACAGTAGAAGCAGGCCCTCACCAGAACCTGATATCGGACTTTGAACTTTCATTATGAAAAATACATTTCTATTGTTTATAAACCTCCCAGACTATGGTACTTTGCTATAGTTACCCAAGATAGGTCAGTATTTAAGTTCAAACAGAAATTATATAGATAATGAGATGGGCTACTCCTGGATACTTAAACTGAGTTTACTTGTTAAGTTACAATATAGTAATATTGATTCCAATCAATATTGTGACTGGAGTCAATCTGTGAGTGTGTGGGTGCTCTCTTATGAATGTGACCTGTATAAATTCATGTTACTCCCACCATAGTTGGGATATGGAATAGTTGTATCACCTCATAAAACTCCCTTCTGATATTACTTGTAGTCACACCCACCTCCCCAGTTTCCAATGCCATTGATCTGTTGTCTATCCATAAAATTTTTGGATTTTTTTTTTAGCAAGTCATATAAACAGAGTTGGACAGTATATAACATTTTGAGACTGGTTTCTTGTGCTCAGGAAAATGATGTTGAGATTAATCTACGTTGTTGCATGTATCAATAGTTCACTCTTTTTTACTGCTGAGGATGGTAGACCTGAGTTTATCGCCTCATCCACTGAAGGACATCTGGTTGCTTCCAGCAAGTACAGATGATATGAGTCGAGTTGTTATAACAGTTGTATATGAGTTTTTGTGTGAATATAAGTTTTTATCTTTTGGGTAAACACTGTGAAGTGGGATTGCTGGGTCATATGCTAAGCCTGTATTTTACTCTATAAGAAACTGCAAAGCTGTTTCCCGAAGTAGCTGCACCATTTTGCATTCCCACCGGCAATATATGAGAGTGCCTGCCAGTCACTCCCCGCCCTCAGCAGTACTTGGTATTGTTAGTATGTTTCACTTTACCCATGCTAACAGGTATATAGTAGAAACTAACTTTTGTTGGTTCCTGAGGTTTGGAAAGCAAATAGCCAAATTTTAAGACTAAGAGCATCATCAAAAATTTTAATTTGTTTGCTTATTCATTTTGATAGCAAGTCAAACTGTGAAGAACAGCAATGAACTGATTAACATAAAATTTGTGGGCAGACAGGAAGATTCAATCTACTAGGTACATGAAGGGACTCTCAGATACAGATAATATGCCATTTGTAAGGGAAGGTGGGATGTACACTCTGTGTTACACTGTTCTTTAAATACATTTAATACATTTCACAATCAAAAATATTAAATGAATTGTCTGAGCACAAAAAAAAAAACATATAAGGAAATGCAAAACAATATTTTAAAACTACTTTTTCAGGAGTTCAACTGTAGTGAGTTGTAAAACTTAAAAAGCATCTTGCAGAATTTGGGCATAAAGCATTTTTAAACATAAAGCTTCCTTTAAAAACCATTTAATGTTAATTTCTTTACTGTGATTGTTTATGTCTGTGATCGTTTGTTTCTGTGATTGTTTATGTCCCATAGACCAAATTGCTAATGTGTCCAGTTATTAAGGAGCTTGTTTAATCCCAGCGGTCTCAACCTACACACAGGCTGGTCATAGACATTCTTAAAGATTGGCAAAGATAGCTCATTCCTAGAAACCAAGACCTCGATGGGACTTGAGTCAAACCCACAATAAATGCCTCATTTTTAGTATTCATAGATTCTTAGACACCCCAGGCCACCATCTGGGCACACATTCATCAGTAGCCAGTTCTGGTGGCCACCAGCACCTTGTGAGGAGTACATTACCTGTGACGACACTGGGGATTTTGGAGAGAAAGCTCTTGACTGTCCTGATGGGCACTCCTCCCGTCTTGTCATCTTGCATCTTTGTGATGATGTCTTCGATCTGAAAGAGGTTAGAGGAATGTTACTTTCTCCCACACAATAGTAGTACATGGTGCCTTATAAACAGTCCAAATCTGTATAACACTAGATATCAGGAAAGGCCTATAGTTCATCAGTCAATAAATGTAGTGTCCATATCTGCTATTGACCAAGTGCTGGGTGTGGGTACCAGAGGAAGATATAAAAGAGCATAAGGTATGTTCTACAGGAATAAGGTAAGGATGGAGAAATACATGAGGATCCTTCAGGGGACCCAACATGGAATGAAATATGTAAACAGTGCCATATTCAAATCCCTTAAAATTGCAATTTCCTGTTGTTCAACCTAAAATATTAATGTGTCTTTTAGGAAGTTCAGGAAGGGCTGCTTTGGGGACTAGAGAATGACCCAGCCAATCACATGGGAGAAGGGACAGAGATTATAAATCAAGACCTGGAATGCCCTAATTTGGAGAAGTTGGGAAACGGGCCTTGGAAGTGGTGAGTGGTGGTGTGAGGATGGTCACCTTGAGTCAGGGAAAAGTGGGTCAAGGACAGGACCCTCTCCTTTTGAACTAAGGAAGTCCACGTTATCAGGAGAAAGACCACTGGTGGATGGTGGTCTGTGGCCTGGAGTCAGGTGACATCTTACTGGTGACAACAGAACAGGGAATGGGGATGGACTAACCGCGATGTAGGTACCTAAACTGGTAAACCAATTGGTAGCTAAAAATTTGCCAGCCACATGTCATTTCCTGGGAAGAAATCTTCAGAATAGGATATAGAAAAATCTGTTACAAATGCCTAGATCTTTCTGTTCGAGGAAGAGAGAGCCCTGGGAAAAGGGAAGAAGATAATACCTAGCATTATCATGTATTTTGTTCCCCTGACCAACGAAACATCTTTAAGATGTCAGGATGGATTCTCTGAGGGAGCCCTGAGTAGAGTCACATATTCTTTTTTTATTATTTATTATTTATTTATTTTTTAATCGGAGGGGCACTCGACCACTGAGCCACATCCCCAGCCCTATTTTGTATTTTATTTAGAGACAGGGTCTCATTGAGTTGCTTAGCTCCTCGCTTTTGCTGAGGCTGGCTTTGAACTCGCGATCCTCCTGCCTCAGCTTCCCAAGCTGCTGGGGTTACAGGTGTGTGCCACTGCCTGTAACCCCATATCTTAAAGCTAGAAATTTAAGCCATAGCCCATCTAGTGAAACTTATTACTATTGAATTTTGAGGTTGATTTTTCTCAAAGTCACATGACTAATAAATAACTAGTCTTACAGAAATAGATATCTTGATAGAGACAAAGTTACACACAGTAAAACATCATCACTGCCATCATTGCCAAATATGTTTAGAATTTATTATGTTCCTGGCACGATTCTAAGGATTACACATACCTTATACAGCTTAATCCTCATATTTACCTTTTAAAGTAAATTCCACTATTATCCTCATTTTGCCAGATAAAGAAATTAAGATTTAGTGAGGTACATCAATCACGTAGAGTATGTTAAGTTGTGGAAGGAAACAGCTCCCAGAGTGTCAATGGCTCAACACCACCAAACTCATTTCTCTGTCATGCTACATGCCTCTCACAGGTCACTCAGGTAGACTCTGCTCATTGTAGTTACCCAGGGGCCTGGGCTAATGGAGCAGCCACCATCTTGAATGTTGCTGGTCACTGTGCCAGAGTGACAAGAGAGAATTCTGGACACACTCTCACTGGGCATTAAGTGGTACAACCCAGAAGTGATCAATAACATATTGGTCACAATTCTTTGCTTGGAACTAGTCATATGTTCCCACCCAAGCACAGAGAAGCCAGGGGACTGGGTGCAGGAGGAGAGGCAAACTGTACATCTGTGGCCAACACCCATGGCTGCTACAGAACCTTCACCAGTTTTACAAGGTCTCGCAGATAGTGAGTTGTGAAGCCAAGTTTGAACACAGTCCAGACTCCAAAGCTTGGGCTTCTAACCCCTGAGATGTTCTGTCTGCCAAAGAGAGTCCTAGGAACTGTCACACAGGGAAACCACTCCCCTCTGGGTAGTTCTGGGTTTCCCTGAAAAGTATTGAGCATGAATATGAATCCTCTGCCCCTCAGGCAGTGCACAAGAGTCTTCTGGAAAGAAGGGTTTCCTCTGAAAACATGCACTCTGTTAAATGACAGTGTAAGAAAGATTTTAATCCTCATTCATGTCATTTCTCCTAGCGGATGCCTGCCTCTGTCTCCTAAACTCAACCCAGCAATTTAGAGGTTTGAATATGACTTATTGATAGTCAAGGAGAGCTATTTCTAGCAAAAAGGGCACGTATTCAATTTAATCCATTCTTTTGATCTACTGTATTATTTGAAGCCAGAAGTATCAGTTACATTGATGGTTTCTATGAAAGGACCAGAAAACCATTGAGAATTGGAGGGAAACTGATCACTCAATTCTGTTAGACCTCTGAGTAGGCGTTAGATGTTTAGTGTCTGATGCAGTGGGCTGGATTTGAGGGATTAACTGTACAGAGGATTTTTCCATGACTCCCCTCTCCTCTGCTCAGTTTAGCTGCTTCGACACATGACTGAATCTTAAAAGGACTTACTGACTAATGAGGAAGCCCTATCTTCTTGCATGGGTCCACAATGGACTAAGAGATGCTTGTCACTTACGGGGTTAAGGCCAGATCAAAAAGACACTCCCTTGACTGCCTAGAAAGGGGATTGCGCTCACTCCAGGAATAGTTCACAGCATCACAGATGAGGAAGGTGGAACTACTGGTCCCCAACTCCTGACTCCCCTATTCGCATACCCTGTAACCCCCACCCTGGTGTAAAGATGGGCAGGGTCTGTAGCTTTGGGGCCCGGCCATATGACCTCATGGCTCCTGGGATCCTATGAATGCAATGCGAGCTGAGGCTCTCCTGCACCTGCGTGGTTGTGGTTGTGCTGGCCTTTTTGCTAGTCCCCTGTCTTTTGCCATGAGAAGAACATGCCTCAGACAGTTATTGTCCCATTGAAGGTAAAAGACATTAGGATCAAATGGGCCTGGACCCATTGTAAGATCAGCCCAACCTCAGATGCCGGAGGTCTCCGGAGTGAGAAGAAAGCTCATTGCTATATATCACTAAGTTTGGGGTGATTTGCTCTAAGGCAGAATTATGATAACGGGGCTCTGAAAAATGCATTTATTAAAATGGCTGTAGCCACAACAAATAATTGACAATAAGAATTAATGAATTTTAGAATTGGGGTATCTTTGCATCTAAACCTTTTTTTTTTTTTTTTTAAGAATGTAGATATTTAATTTATACCATCCACCATCTACTTAAAAACTCTTAGGGACTATACTATTGTCAGTAGCTTATTCTATTATTGTGTCAGACACATTTTTGACAGATATGTTTGATTCTGGAGCATGATTCACAGCAATATCAACTAATCATAGTCTCTGAAATTCCTTATTATAGTTTCTGGAAAATTTTCGAGAGTTCATAAGTAGGTTCCTTGGAGTTTATAAAAAAAAATAATGACAAGCATTTTCAAACAACTATTTAAAAATAGCTTCCTAGGTATTTTCAATAATTACCTAACATATTTCTCAATCTCAAAAGATATTTAATAAAGATGATAAAATTGAGGCTCAGAAAGGTTAAGTGATTTATCCAAAGACACACAGGTATAAGTGTTAAAGCCAGGATTCCTACTGAAGTTGGAATATACACTGTGTGATCATATTTATCAATCTAAAGCTCATCTTCTACTTCTCTGATCTTTAGAAAAGACTAGGCTATGGCCCTTCTCTGAGTTGTGTGATTATTAGGTTCAGATCCTGAAAGGTAATTATCAGAGGCATGAAAGACTCAGCGCCACTTGGTGGACTCCAAGCTTCTATAGTGTTCAGTGGTCAAGTGCCCCTGAGTTCATTCTCTGGTACCCACCCCACCCCCCAAAAATGTTTTCACCTTGCTGGGCCCCAACTCCTGACTCCTCTATAGTATTCACATGCCTGTTATCCCAGTGGCTCAGGAGGCTGAGGCAGGAGGATCACAAGTTCAAAGCCAGCCTCAGCAACTCAGGGAAACCCTGTCTCAAAATAAAAAATAAAAAGGACTGGGGATATGGCTCAGTGGTTAAGTGCCCCTGGGTTCAACCCCCATGCTAAAAACATTAGCTCAATAAATTCATTTAATTTTCAAGCAGATTATTATGTCCCCATTTCCTAGACAAGGGAATCATCCCAGCCAGAACTTGCCGACATCCAGGCACAAGATACTCAATGCCACTGTACTGACGGAAGTCCAGCTCAGTCCTCGAGGGGCAGAGGAGGAGGCTGGCGATGGGTCCAGACAGTCAGGTTCTCAGGTATCTGAGGATTGATTTGCTGCTGTCTCGCAGCTCAGGAGTCTCTCCCTGTCCCAGGGGTTAGGCTGGGTTCATCTCCCATGGGTTAGACCACAGCTCCCTGGTGGGGACGGGGACAGGGGAAGGTGTATGCTGATGTTTTCTTGACTGTTCAGTTTCATCTGACTTCTGGCACCTTTTGTTCCTAGGGAAGAACAAAATCAATTCCCTGACATCCTCTAATATGAAGCTTTGTATCATTCGGGAGCATGTTTGGACCTAAATGCTGCTGTGCCAATCAATAAGCAGGTGGCCCTTATCTGACAGCCAAGTGAAGCAGAGAAGCACTTGGTTGGCTTGGCTGGTTCTGCCTGGATGGGCCATGATAAGCAGGATGCCCTTCTCCGAGGCGCTCAGAGCTCAGCCCTGACACGCAGGTAGAACACTCTTCCAAACAGGAGGGAGATGGGAACCCGTACCACATAGAGCAGGGTTTCTTTTAAATGAAAAATATTACCAAAATGTATTCAAAATTCACTGGAATCAGCTCAGGCTGTAAGAGAGGAAAGAGGAGATGCAATCCTTTCTTTAGAAATGAAAGTCTCAGTTTGACAGTAGGAAGCACACCACCCTGAGGTCCAGAGAGACCCGCTGGACTCAGCTTCACCAATGCGCTGTGTTGA